CGGCGCAGAGCGGCTCGAATCGTCAACGACCGAGTGCTTTCCGATCGGCTCGATTCACTGGCATTGCGAAGAGATGTTTCATCTCTTTGCATTTTCTTTCGCATATACCATGGAGAGTGCTCTGAGGAATTGTTCGGATTAATCCCAGCCGCCAAATTTCGTGAACGTACTACGCGGCAAACGTCTCGATACCATCCACACCATCTGGATGCTTGGCGGTCCACCACTGTACGTTTCAAAAGGAGTTTTCTTCCGCGTACAACCTTTCTGTGGAATAGTTTACCACCGGCGATTTTTACGGACCGATACGACCTGGGGACCTTCAAGAAAAGAGCTTACTCCTTTCTAAAGGGCCGGCAACGCACCTGCAATTCCCCTGGTGTTGCGGTTGATCATGGGCGGCGGTAATCACTTAACATCAGGTGAGCCGCATGCTCGTTTTCACCCTCTTCTATATAAAAAAAAAAAAATATAGAACCTAGAACCTTCTCGATTTTTGAACTAGGTTTAAGACAGTAAAATATATTTATTACGAAATATGAAATTTATTATTACAAAAATAAAATATCCTCCGAAGTTTTGAAGATTATACATACTAAGAAAACTTTTGAAGTTGTTTTGCTGTCAAGAACCTTTTCAACAACACTCGCAAACAATTGTAACGTGCAAAGTTTGTATGAAATTGTGGAATAAATATAAATACTACTATTATCTTACAGTTTTTGTTGTGTTATTTTTATTGCGTTGTATTTTTTCATTGATATTTAACCCACACGTGTGTTTGTGTGTGTGTGTGTGTGTGTGTGTGTGTGTGTGTGTGTGTGTGTGTGTGTGTGTGTGTGTGTTTGTTGTGTGTGTGTTGAGACTTCAAGTGAGTTTTAATTTTATTAATTACAGGGTTCCAAGCAGGTGGTACCCAAGCAGGTGATACCCAGCCCTCTTCTCCATTGAAATTAGGATGTTTTTTAATTTCAATAAACTCACGTATCATCCTTCGTATGAATAGATGCTCTCTCGCGAGGATTTGAGGTCTATCAAATCTGATGTATGGTAATGGTTGGAGCCGCCTAGGTCATGATCACGTCTGGAATTAAAAATAATTAAAATTAAACGCGATAAAATCCGTAAAAGTAGTTTTAATCAATAATATAATTATGTTAAAAACGACAATGTTGTTGCATGTTCCACATAAAAAGTGTCAAAAGTAGCCAACAAAAATCATATTAATTAATTTAGCAGAAAAAAACCAAAATTGGCCCAACATTTAGCCTGGTTCCGCAAAGAAAATAAAATGCTATAATATTGTTGCACGCAATAGTTACCGGTAAATGCCACTAGCGCCATCTGGTATCAAGTAGCAGGCATTAAGAGAGCTTTATAGAAAATGTACTGCTAGAACTTTCCACCTCCAGCGCCATCTAGTATTGAGTGATAGAACTAGGAGAGAACTTTCTACAATCAGCCGATTGAAACCGGTATGTGCTCGAACATTCGGGATGTTTTAATAGAAAAGGTCCTATATAAAGGCGTTTAGGACCGCGACTGAGGCCGTATTGAATTGGCGATAAAAGTGAAGACTATGGTGCGAAATAAAGTAAACGAGTGTTAAGTGTGATTAATTATTAGTGTAATTTAAGTTTGAATTGGTGTTTAGTAATTAAAGTGTCAATTTTGGTAATTCAATCGGCAGTTTTACTGTCACGAACCCTAAGCTCGTAATGATTGGTGTCAGAAGTGGGATAAAATCATGACGATTCTACCTAAGGATGACACGGAGGGTGTTCGTACCCGAAGTGAACGCCAGCAGGAGACGGACCAGAGACGATTTGATGGTTCAACGCCGCAGACGTCGGAGGGCCAGTCACTGGCCACAGGGGCCAGTCTGTAGTCCTACATCTGCAGCACCTGACTTAGGTGCTCTGATGATGATGCCGCAGAAATAGGCTTGCGGACAGGAGGAACAGGCTTGCCGACAGGCAGAACAGGTCCACCGTTTGTAAGAGCAGCTGCGGGTTGGCAAGAGGTATAGGCCCGTCGGTTGGAATGGCAGATGCTCCTCATGAAAGACCTTTACGCTACCTTCGTAAAAGTGATAAGGAAGGTGAAGGATAGGGTTGCTCAACGTCGGAAGCTGAAACCCGAATCGACCAAGTGAACAATCGAGTTGATAACGTGATGGCTGACGTTAAGAAAACGATGGAGGACCTCAAACTTGGAGATGGAATTAGAGCTCCCGCAGTAGCTACAACTCCTTCGCTACGTGGATTCAAAGTACCGCCGTTCGACGGGACTTTTTCTTGGTCAGCCTACAAAATCCAGTTCGTAGCTGACATGGTGGCGAACAGCTGGAATTAAAGTCAGGCGCGACTGCACTCGCCCTAGGCCTGCGCGACCAAACCTTAACCATTTTGGAAGATGTTGGTAAGAAAGTGACTTTCGAGCAGCTTCTTGAGGCATTGGAGGCGAGATATGGTAAGGCTCACCTGGAACACGTCTTTCGTGTGCAGCTTAAAGATCGAATGCAACGCAGCAACGAAAACCTGCAGCAGTAGGCCCTTGAGGTGGAGAAGCTGGTTCGAAAATCACACCGATCTGTTGCTGCGCTCATTGAATGGAACCTGGTGTAGACATTCATCGACTGAATCCGCGACCTTGAAGTCAGAGCTGCCGTAAGGCTCGTAGCATTCGCGTAAATATAAGAAATCGCGTGAATATTTGACTACTTTAAAAACTTTCGATTTTTCTTTATAAAACTAAACTTTTTTATGAACTAACTAACAGTCAAACTGATGACAAGTGGCTACTGCAGACCATGGATACTTGCAATCAACTTCAAATAAATAAACGTAACAGATGCGTTGTCAATTTTATGAATTAAGAAGGAATGCCTCACAGCCTGTAATTATACTATGGTACAGTAAAAATAGAATTTAACTTTGCACTAATTTCCGATTCATTTTCTTGTTTTTGTAAGGTTTAGGATTGCTTACAGAGCATAAAATCACTAAATGCTGACAGATCCATTTACATTTTATGGCCCATTTAATGAACTGGTATTTCTACCGCGGCCAATAAATCTTGAAATATTAGATTAATGAATAAAATACATTAATCCCTTTTTAAAAATCAGTTTACTCTCTACAACCTTTGTTTCAATTTTTTTTCTAGTGTCCATACTTTTGAGTTATAGGACTTTAATGTTGGACTACCGGGCATGAAGTCAAACATTTCAAGATACGCATAGCTAGCAAGAGGCGATGCTCGGCGGGTGACGTGGTAGGTAATTTTACGCTCGGTAGTCCAACAATAAACGTCATATAACTCAAAAAGTATGGATATTAGAAAAAAGTTTGAAACAAAAGTTGTAGAGGGTAAACTGATCTTTAAAAATGGTGAATGCATTTTATTGAATAATCTAATATTTCAACAGTTAATGGCCGCGATAGAAAAACCAGTTCGTTAAATGGGCCATAATTGCCTTTCCCACAGGTGGTGCTTAGTGGGTTGCGCACTCCAGTGAACCTACACAACCATGCAGCCGGCTGCGTAGTTTGCATGAGCATTCACCACCTCCCCCCTGTTTACCAAAGCGTGGCCCTTATTTGCTTCTGGGCGCAAAAAAATTGTTTTTTGAACTCAAGTGTACCAAACTTTGCTCGTATGGTGCAAAGTATATAGTGTGTGGTAAGTGTAAAAGTGTGGTAGTCCAAAATTAAACGTCCTATAACTCAAAAAGTATGGACATTAGAAAAAAAATTGAAACAAAAGTTGTAGAGAGTAAACTAATTTTTAATAAAAAATATAATTTTTATGTATTTTATTCATTAATCTAATATTTCAAGATTTATTGGCCGCGATAGAAAAACGGTTCATTAAATGGGCCATAAATCGTAAACGGTTAGTTTTACAAAAAAAAAAAATTACTGGAAACAAAAGATGCGAAATTTTATTTTCTACAATAATGTTTTCTATAACTTTTGCCTTAAAGTGCATAGTTTCCGACATATCGACTGAATACGTTTTTTCAAGATGGCGCTTGAAGCGCCACCTGGATCTGTCAGCATTTTGTGATTTTATGCTCTGTAAGTGATCCTAAACCTTATAAAAAAGAAAAAATGGATCGGAAATTAAGTGCAAAGTTAAATTCTATTTTTACTGTACTATATTACAATTACAGGCTGTGAGGCATTCCTTCTTAGTTCATAAAATTGACAACGCATCTGTTACGTTTATTTATTTGAAGTTGATTGCAAGTATCCATGGTCTGCAGTAGCCACATGTCATCAGTTTGACTGTTAGTTAGTTCATAAAAAAGTTCATTTTCATAAAAGAAATCGAAAGTTTTTAAAGTAGTCAAATATTCACGCGATTTCTTATATTTAGGCGAATGCTATATAAAATGACATTACATTTATAAAGCGCGATAAAATCTGTAAAATTAGTTTCATTTAATAATGGCACATCATCATCACCGTCCATCTTTTCGTATAACTATTATATTGAATAAGAGTTGATGGGAAAAAGGAAGAATATCTACGTATACTTGTTAGGTGTGTACGTAATATCTACGTACACGTACGTATATTATATACGAACGCAGTTGTTAATTTTCAAATGTAGTTTGATGTTAAATACAATAACATTCGCCGTGTTTGAAATTATCAATCAGCAGGAAATAATTAATAACTCATACGTGTAATTCAATTTCTAAGTTTATTTATATCGGACGAACCAAAATATATCATGATAATAAATACCTTGAGTTGAATTTATTAATGTAAATAACCTTTCATTATTTTATATGAAATATTGTTATCGGGGTCAGTTGATTTGTGCCGGGCTGAAGTAAAGTGAAGTTCCTAAGTTTTTTTTTAAATTGTTATATAAATGAAATAATATATTTTTTATCAAAGTATTTATATACAAATGTCATATGATGAGTTTTTATAACATTTTACATTCGGTTTATGCTAAGTAGAACATAAAAGTTTGAAGAGTGTATGTCTTCTTTTCAAGCCCGGTTGGAAAGTTCTCAACCTAATATCACTTCTCTCACCAATGATTTTATCATGTTCAAAGAGACTATCAAAACTGCTCTGGAGATCTTAAAAAAGCAAGTTCAGTCCCTTATACTATTGACTGATGACATTGACAACAGGAGCAGGCGTAAATTTCTTTTAATCCGAGGCATTGAAGAGTATGATACAGAAAACTGCATTGACACTGTTGTAAATCTTGTGACATCAAAATTAAAAATACATACATTTAGATCAACTCAGATTCATTCATGTTATCGTTTAGGAAAAAACACAATAGCAAATCCTCGTGCACTGCTGGTAAAGTTTACAGACTATACCATTCGTCAAGAAGTCTGGCGTGCTAAGCTTTCTTTGAAAGGAAGTAATATTTCTATTGCTGAATTTCTTACTCCTCATAGAAGAGAACTTTTCAAAGAAGCTCGACGCCTACATGGTATGCACAGGTGTTGGACACAAGATAGTAACATATATCTAAAGCTCTGTAATGGAAGCAAGGTACGTCTTGTTTCTCTAGACCAACTGGCTGAATATCCTGTGAGTAATTCAGAAACTTCCAAAGCTGTAGCCTCCAAACAACGGTCTAAACCTGGAAAAAAGTTGTAAAATTAGTCTCTTTGTATATTAACTTTTTCTTTTTCTCTATTGTTAAGAATCTCACTACTGTAGTTAATTACATATTTTACTTAAAATGATATTTAACTTACCGCTATTGGAGTTTATGCAATTATTCATTTCTTTTGTTTGTAGGGCAATTATATTATGTATCATTACTTATAAATACGAACAACTTTTATCATTGGTAGTTGTAGGACTTATATACCTGCTTTATATAATTTAACTTGAAACAAACATAGAACATTGAATTGTAACTTTTTGCAACCTTCAAAATTTTTAGTTTTGTTTACAATGTCAATATGAAATGACAATTTCAAAGAATTAAAATGTATAGTAAAGACAGATCAGAAGTTCTGGTTTTACTTTTTACTATGGTAATGCGATCGTCATACGCAGGGTTACCACCGTAAGAATTTAAAAGTGCGCATTTACAGTTTTTTCTTTAGAGTATTTTTTTTAATCGGCATACATGTACTGTTTTCACTTTTCTTTATCAAATTATAATAAATTGTACTTCCTCCTGAAATGGTTGTAATGTCTTAACTGGTAGTAGATGTGGCAAACTAATAACAATTTTATCTTTGCTGAACCTACGGTATAGCAAAACAGTTCACTTATTTTTATTATTTATTTATTATATACTTATTTTTACTTTTTTTATTAGACATTTATAATATATATGTGTATCCTGTTTTTTATTTATTATTATTATTTAGTAGTATACGAATAAACTTATAAATTTAATTTTAAACTTGCGATGGATATTTCCATAAAATCTGATTACTTTAACTCTACAAGTTCATCACCATCATCGTTTTCCCCGGGTCAGGGTTCCCCAGAACCTCAACTTAGGGACATATTAAATAATGCCCTTGAGATTTACCGAAGGAATTTGAATATATGCCATATTAATGCACAAAGTGTTCCAGCTCACTTTTCAGATCTTCTTGCAACTTTCGAAAACAGTCTTATCCATGCCTGTCTCATATCAGAATCATTTCTTAAACCTAGCTTACCATTCACTTTGTTTAGTCTTCCAGGCTATCATCTCATCAGGAATGACAGATTAAACAAGGGTGGCGGAGGTGTTGCCATATACCTGCGGTCAGACATACCATACACGATCATTTCCAGAACGCCCGAGGTTTACTCTAAATCATTGGAATACATTCTCATTGAAATAATGGTATGCAACACACCTTTCTTACTAGGAACATTTTATGCACCTTCTTCTGTAAATTATTTCAATGAATTAGAACAGCTGATTGAGATGCATCTTCCAAACTACTCCCACTCCATTTTCATGGGTGACTTTAACACCTGCCTTATTCGAAATTATGCTAGATCGAATAAGCTTAAACGCTTAAGTGCATCAAGCAATATTAAAATTCTTGACCTCGAATCTACCTATTACGTCAATAACACTAACTCTTTACTGGATTTAATCCTTACATCTGATTCTGATCGTATATCTCTACATGGTCAATTCGTGGCTCCTGGATTTTCCCATCATATGCTCTTAAATCCACTAAATCGTCTCCCAAAATTATGTTTCAGCGTAACCTTGTCCGTATGAATCGCCAGCTATTAAGTTATGAGATACGCAATGCTAATTGGGCAGACTTTTATAACACTAATAATATTGACAATAAACTGCAGTTACTTAATAATATTATAACAAAAGCTTATGACAAAGTAGCGCCTTTAAGACCAGTAAAAATGAAACGGGCACCAGCACCTTGGTTAACGCCATATATTCGATCTCTTATGGCACGTAGGGACCGCCTTAAAAGAAAACATAAACGTTCGCCCAGTGATGAGAACTGGGAAAGATTTAAAAAAAGCACGAAATCGTTGCAACCAGGTGATACGAAATGCCAAACGCCGACATATTCACAATACTATTGAGACTTGCACAACCCAGAATTTATGGAAGTTTTTGCGTAGCCTAGGCTTTGGTAAAAGCAAACAGAATGTTAGTCAGTCCCTTGATTTAACAGCGCTCAACAAACACTTTTGCTCTTTACCAGTTTCGTTGGACTCAACAGTCAAAAGCGATACTATTAAAGATATCACTTCTTTCCCTTTACCATGTTGTACTCCTTTCTGTTTTGAACCAGTGACTGATAATGAAGTAAAAGAAATTGCATCCGTCATATCCAGCAAAGCTGTCGGCCCAGATAATATTGTACGTGACATGGTTTTGCCGATTTTGGACGAAATAGTTTCCCATATCACTCACCTAACAAATTTCTTCTTTGCCTCCAGTACCTTCCCTACCTGAAAAGGTTGTTCATGGCACACTCTCAAAATTTCTAAACAAACACAACCTCTTTAATGCTTATTAGTCTGGTTTCCGATCTCTGCACAGTACTTCCACGGCCTTAATTAAAATAACTGATGATATCCGCTTCGCGATGGATAATCGTCAACTCACTCTTCTTGTCCTTCTGGACTTTAGTAACGCCTTTAACTGTGTTGACTATGACATCCTATTAGCAATTTTGAAACCCCTGAATTTAACATCGTCAATTCTACAATGGTTCAGTTCCTATCTTCGGGGACGCCGGCAACGCATACGTGTTGATGATAAGTTCTCCGATTGGTGTAACGTTGTTGCTGGTGTTTCTCAAGGCGGTGTTTTATCTCCGTTGCTTTTTTTCTGTGTTTATCAATGCACTTGTTTCCGTAATAAATTTCAGCAAGTATCACCTGTACGCAGATGATGTCCAGCTGTATCAGCATTTTAGTTTAAATGACCTAAATTCATCTGTTGATAGAATGAATTCTGATCTTGCTGCAGTTCATCAGTGGGCAAGATGTCATGGGCTAATATTAAATCCTACCAAAACACTGGTTATAATCATAGGGAGCAGAAAAATTACATGTCAACTTGACTATCAATATCTACCTGAGGTCACTCTAAACGGTGTAGATTTAGAATATGTTAGGCATGTTAAGAACCTTGGTTTAATTTTGGCTGACGATCTAAGTTAGGTGCTACAAGTTAATGAGGTCAGGAGACGTATTTTTGGAACTATGCATTCATTAAAGCTCTGGCAAAAATTTATTCCTCAGACGGCCAAGGTTACGCTAGTCAACGCTCTGTTGCTTCCTATTTTTGATTATGCCGATATTGCCTATCCAGATATAACTGAGGAGCTGCTTAGCAAACTCGACCGTCTGCTCAATCTGTGCATACGCTATATTTTTGGCCTGCGCAAGTTTGATCATATATCACAATTTCGCTCAAGACTTAAGTGGCTCGACATCCGTTTTCGCCGGAACACACACCTTCTAACCACTTTGTATAGTATTCTTCACAATCCTTGTTCCCCAGTTTATCTAAAAGAGCGTTTTTCATATTTAAGCTTATCCCGTTCGATTACCAACAAAACTCTAACTATCCCGATGCATAAATCTGCATACTACTCGGATTCCTTCACGGTATCATCAATTACACGTTGGAATAACCTTCCACGAGATTTAAAAGATGCTCCTTCAATAAATACATTTAAACGTAAGCTTGAGGCATATTATTTAAAATTACTTGATTAATTTTATTGATTATGTTTATTATAATTTCGTATACTATATTGTATGCTCTATTGATATATATATATATATATATATATATATATATATATATATATATATATATATATATATATATGTATAAGTGTATATATGTATAAACTAACATATACATAATATTATATAATGCGTTTTGAATAGTATGAATAAATAAGTTAGTTTTTCTTTCTTTTTTCTCTCGCGGCTCTACCCATAGCTCTCACCATACTACAAAAGGTTAGCTGGCAGAGAATGCCTTTTCGGCATTAAGTTCGCCTTTGTACCAGAGTTTTGTTTGAGTGCAATAAAGAATTTTCTATCTATCTATCTATCTAAAATTTTAACGTTTATAAACACCTTTAAAATATTTTTGCAGCCAACTTCGAAATCTTCCAATAAATAGTACAGTTAACATTATATTTAAAAATATTACATCTTTCCAGATTTCCAGAGCTCCGCCTACCCGCAAAATTTTTACTGCAAGAGAAAGAATAACTTGGAATGCTTCCAAACGTTATGACACTTTGAATCGTGTAAAAATAGAATCATATTTTGGGAAAGCCTATGAGGAAATAGCGAAAATTCGTACCGCTGGAGTAAATGAAAATAAAACATCTGAAATAGAAGCCGACATCAATGTGTCCCAAATGGAACGAAACATTTCAAACGAATGGGATCAATGAAGTAATATCTGTGGCGTTTCGGACGTTAAGCGACTGTGGTGATAAAAATGGCGAAAGATATGAATTTGTGTGTTCTAGTGAAATTGATTGTTATTCAAACATTCATCGGGACGAGCTTAGAGATCATCGAGTCCAGTAAGTAATATAAATAATGATACTGTTACAAAAAAACTGTCATTCCATTTTTTTATTTTAAAGTATTAATTATGTGATATTTACTTGCTGACGTTACGGTTTTCAACAAGTTTTGATAGTTTTTTTCTATTTTCTAGAAAAGTGATATCAACAAACAATAAATAATTTAAAATAATTAATATTCTTCTTAAATATAGTAAAAAGGAAATCGCACAATATTTATACTATATATATTTTGTGTGATGTGCAAGATGCACATAATAACATTTTTTTATTTTCCCCTGGCCAAAATCAAAGCCTATATGCATCCTTTTAGGTGGTAGAGCCATGTTGCAGCTATATTAGTAGTATAGTTGTAGCACGAATGGGTTGGCTCGACCGGGGAAGGACCACGCTCTCACAGAATACCAGCGTCAAATAGCAGCTTAATGCTGCTGTGTTTCGTATGGTGAGTGTAGAGAACCGGAGACCCTATCTACTGGAAATGAGGCACTCCACCTTAGTCCTCACGAGTGACAACGCATCGGCATTTTGATTTGTAGTCGAGGATAGATGTAGATGTTTATGGGCCGCAGCAACCACTTACCATCAGGTGGACTGTGTGCTCATTTGTCACCCTATCCTATATTAAAAAAATCCTTTGCTAAAATAACGGTTTCAGGCTTGAGTAGATGATTACCATCTATATGTTCACATCACACCAAGAGCATTTTAAATGGAAAAGCCTTTACAAGAATACGCCAAAAGCATTTATTTATTTTACATATTTTGATACTCACATACTCATAAATCCAATAGGGTACTACCCGTTTAGCTAGAATTATAAAGTTTGTTAATAAACAAGGCCCTAGGCACAAGTAAAAAAAATCGACACTTGTTAATATGTAGTTCTATCACATATTTTATGCAATTACAGGCTTACATTTTGCAGTTGGAGTATAGACCACAATGTAGGCCAATGTATAGGAGAATATTTTTCTATACCTACATATATAATTTACTTTATGCGGAACCATTAGAGAGCTAGAGCTACTCGCGATAGTTTAAAAAAGCATTAATGAAAGGCCGGCACCGGTAGTAAAACATTCAGCGTAGAGATAACGTTGATGATTTCACTGTTTCACAGGCATATATCCTTACCGTAACCATGCCCAGTGTTATTTTAGCCTAGATCTTGTATTAGAAAAGTCTTAGGCTAAAATTAATTAGGATCGGAACGGAGCCAAGGAGGAAAAAAAGCGGAAAAAATCAAAAAATTTGCAGTTATTGTTTTTGCACTAATACTCTGGCTGGAAATCGACTTTGACCTACTATAGTCGTAGTCATCATCATCATCATCTTTTCAATTTTTATTATATATACTCCAAAAATGTCACAAAACACGACGCTGGGCAACCTGCATACATGGACTTTCTTTACGTCTTTTACACTTCGTGTACCGGTTCGAGGCTGCCGCTAGAGATCTTTCTATCGCTTGTTGGTTTTCCGAGCTATATGGCCTGCTCATTTCTTTTTTTATTTACTATGCTATCTGTTGGGCTATTTTGGTTACTTAGATTCTATTACGCAGAGAAACTTTGTACATTGACCTGTTCAAAACTCCCTAAACGACTTCATCATATTATGACCAGCACCGAAAAGACCATATCTTAGACGCTGTTTATATATATATATATATAAATATATATTATATGTTGCAAACCAGTAACATTCATTACTATGCGGATGACAGCACTGGCGATGCTCTATACTTTAGAAAAGATATTGCATTCCTTTTCATCTTCTATCGCATATACCATGGGAAGTACTACGAGAAATTGTTCGGATTAATCCCAGCCGCACAAATTCCACGGACGTCGCAACAACATTCGCGATACCATCCACAACTTCTGAATGCTTGGCGATCTACCGCTATACGTTTCAGTAGGAGTTTTTCCTCGTACGACCCCTCTGTGGAATCGTTTGCCATTGGCGATTATTCCGGACCGAGACGAATTAAAACTAAAAGAAAAAACTAAAAGGCCGGCAACGCACCAGTAATTACACTGGTGTTGCAGTTGATCATAAGCGGCGGAAGTCACCATCAGATGAGCCGCATGCTCGTTTGTCCCCTATTCTATAAAAAAGATAAATATTAAGAAAAAAATCTCTTTAAAATGATCCACACAACGATCATTTAATAGCAATAAATTTATTTCAAGGTTGTTTCAGTTTTAAATTCTTTCTTTTTTGGTTGGTAGAAGCGTAGTAATGTTACAAATAATATAAATATTGAACTTTACATCATTTCTTATAACGATATAGAACGAAATAACTTCCTAACGGCCATGTTTCCTTCCCAAATCGTTTATTCGTAATCAAGTTAGCTTTTAAACACAAACAGACGAATTTCACAAATTTGGCCCAACTGCGTCACGTTTGCTCGAATTTTTTCTGGCTTTCGGCCAAATTGAATGGATGAATGTTGGACGTTCCCTGACACATGACTCTGTCATACGTGCCTCGTAGATGACGGATCGTTAGTTTGATCAACAGTTCAGTTTAGATGAATGTTTTTAGTCCCTGTATCTGAAAAATGACACGAGGAAAAATCTGTTTTTAATAGCACTTTTTAATTTCTTTAAAATAAATTGAGTAAATATTGTTTGGATGTAATGTATTGTGTCATACTGATACCGATTAATTTAAAAAAAATTACGAATTGTTTTTAAATGAGGTTGTCTATCGAGAATATACGGTAATCGGATCTTCGAGCTATATGGCCGGCCTATTGTTACTTCAACTTACTGATACGTTGGACTATGTCAGTTTTTGTCTAGTTCTTCTACAGATATATTGATCTATCATTCTTCAACCTTTAAGCGAAGTGTTTAGCGGGCCTCAACTTGATGAAATGATGACCTGGTATTACACGTAGGAAGGTCAATGTATGCGTGTTAAATAACAACCGTAAAAATAGTAATAAGTTTACAGTTGGTTTTACTGTTTAAGCGTCAATGTACCGTAAAAATATTGGAAGTAACTTATTATTCATAGTCAAAGACGGGAAATGGCGCAGTGTTATCTAATTTCGAAAACAGTGTGTCCTTTCGCACAAATTAATCATTAAAGTAAAAAAATTAAATAGCAAAATTTGGCTTTTGCGATATGCCATACAGTTTTAAATTAACTAAAGTTATTTTAGTACATTTAGCTCGGTTAGAAATATTATTATAAAAAACCGAAAAAAAAAAACTGCACTTACCCGCGTTCCAAGCGTCTAATACAAAATTCTCCCTATAAGGCATCTATTCTATCTATCTATTCTATTATCTATCTATCTCTATGTATTGGGAAGACCTATGTTCTGCAGTTGATTTTTATAGACTGAATAAACGAATGAAAATATAATTAAAAAAATTCCACTTCTTTTTCGTCTCCCGTATCGTAGACGTGTGTTCTGTTTTCAAATTAAATGATCTATTGTGCAAGAGACGAACTTAAATTCTTATTTTACAAGTATTTCCTTTCTCTAACTAAGTATGTAATTTGTTTTCATACATTATTACAATCTTGTATACTTTGTAATTAAACGTATAAAAAACAACGGAGCATGAAAACAAACTCAAAACGTAATTTTGATTTTTTATTGCTTAATATTTTACTTACTCATTAAAAGACATCATAAAAATCTTTTAAAACCATTGTGTCTTAGCCCAAAATAAATGGACGGAGATGATACATCTGGAGAGAATTTGCAGCAATTACAAATTGCCAACGTTACTCGTGGAGCACAGTCGTGCATATTTTATTTATCTGGCTTAAGCGTTGCTGCATTGCCTCGTATAAAATCGAGGGTCTCGTTTATCTCGAACATTAAAATACTTTATGGTAACCGAAAACCCCGAATGTACTTAGACCATATTTCAAATGATAAGTCTTGGATTACTAGAACCCACTTCAAATAACTTAATTGTTATTACACTCTGGTATTACTAGTAATATTGGGATGAGGGAAATATCACACATACCTTATTCTACATCGGCATATATATATATTTTTTTTTATTAACTGTTATTATTTTTTTAATCACGCTGGGTTTCCTGCTTGTTCTTCCCAGGTCAGAGTTTTTTCTGAACCAGTGGTAAATTAAACAAAAGAGTGACTTTCAATAAGTATTATTCATAATCTATATTGAATAACATAGCTTCTGTTTATTTTTCAAAAAATGCGTCTGCATACTTCTTCATTTGAAGTTAATAAAAAGGAAGAGTTAACAAAGGGAAAGCCTGCGTTTTTTAGAAATAAAAATATTTCTAAGACTTGTGAAGTACGTAAACACGCACTGGAGTATGCAACAAACTCATTGCTCTATAGCTTTCTTAGAACTGAGTAGAGGCCTGTGTCCACCTGTAATAATAATGTCCTTCAGAACGAATTTTGATCACTGCAACCTGTCTCAACGGAGCCATTTGCGCAGAACAGGATAATCCTGTTGCGCATACACTTGGGCTATAAAGTGAAGGAATAGAGAGTGCACCTGCGCCTGCGCACTGAGTTTGCAAAAGCCTATTCACTCTTGTTTTGAAGACAACCGACTGTAATTGGATGAAATGACAGATGCTGGCAACTTATTACACTCGTTTGCTGAACGTATGATGAACGACGAAGGAAACCGTTTGGTTCGAATGCGTGGTAAATCAATAACGAAAGGGTGGAGAGTGGTCAACGTCTGGTTATTCGATGGTGGAATGGAAAGGGAGAAATTAAATTATCTAATTTAATTAAAATTAACGTGAGAGACTAATGCCTAAACTAAGCGACGTACCTGCATTTCAGGTCATTAGGACTCCCTCCCAATTGACAAATACAAAGTATTTAATCTTGGAATGCATATTTTAATGACAATAATACATGCTGTAATATTGGTGTTATTACGTGTATTTAATAAATTTATCTTGATGGAAGGTATGTGTGCGTATTTTATATATATATATATATATATATATATATATATATA